TCTGAATGTCAGAAGTCTGGGTGTGGCATAGCTGGGTGGTTTCTGGTTGTTTCATATGAGATCACAGTCAAGATACCAGCCATGGCTTCAGTTTCTGAACCCTGGACTGGGTGCTGGAAAATCTGCTTCCAAGCTTAGGTGGCTGTTGTCAGGAGGCTTCCTATGTGGCCACTCCATAGGACTGGTCATACCTTTGCTCAGAGAAAATCTCAGATGGCATAATGTCACCTGTACCATATTGTTCCACGGATCAACTCTGGTATAAGAGAAAACTATACAAAGCTGTGCCTACCAAAAGGTAATGCCCACTGGGAGCCCACTTGGAAGCTGGCTGCTACCTCTAAAACACAAATGGTTGGAAATAATAGTTTAGTAATGTGGTCGGATATAAGATGGATATACAAAAATAGATTACATTTTTACATATCAGAGGCAAAGCATGAGGACATATTGTGTGTGTGTGTGTTGCTAGGAATTTTTTTAAATAAAAATAAATGGAGCCATAGTTAACTCTGTGAATAGAAAGGCTTAATGTAATAAATGTGTCCATTCTTTCCAAATTCCATCTAAGAGTACAAAGTAGTTTAATCAAAATCCTCTCTGGGGGGCTGGGGTTGTGGCTCAGTGGTAGAGCGCTTGCCTAGCATGTGTGAGGCCCTGGGTTCAATTCTCAGCACCACATAAAAAAATAAATAAAGATGTCCATTTATAGCTAAAAAATATTTTTTTTAAAAAATCCTATCTGGATTTTCATGAAATGTGACAGGTTGATTCTAAAACATTTATGAGAGCCCTAAGAGTCAAGAATATAGTAAGATATTTCTGAGGAAGACAGATAGGGACAGAGGACTTACCCTATAATTAACAAGATTTATTATGAATCTATTTAAACTTATGTAAGTATGTCATGTTGTATATATAGCTACATAATAGGTTAAAAGCTATATAAGTAAGCTATAAAGCTATGTATTTAAAATGTTGTCATATTGGGATAGAAATAGACAAACTAAGCAATAAAACACAAAAGAGGGCCTAGAACCAGCACATTGCACTTTTATTTGATATACCTGGTATATCAAGTGGACTCCCACCTCCTCCCTGTTGCAGCACATGGCTTGTTTCCCAGCAGTACCTTTAACCACCTGCAATCACCCCAGTTGATGGTGGTCTCTCCCGTGCAGGAGAGCAGTGTGAACCTCATACCTTGCATGCCACCAGGGCTGCCTTTGCAAGTGCCATCACAAAAGTGTTCTGTAAACACCAAATGAATGAATGAAAAACTCAAGAAATGTGTATTTCTGGAGAACTTTCTGATGATTGTGAGTCTTCCTACTGTGTGTATTCCAAAACTTTCCATGGGCCCTAGAGAGGGCTGTGTACCTTATGTGGTGTTTTGGTGTCTTGCTGAACTGCCTCTCTGAGCTGTGCTTTGCCACCCTGGTACCAGCTTTCTTTTACCAGTGATCCTAACATAGTAAGGAAGGAACACCTTGTATTTAAATGAGGATGCTAAGCTGGGAGGGAGGTGCACACCTGTAATCCCAATACTCGGGAGACGAGGCAGGCCTCTGGGATGACCCCAGGAGTCTGAGGCCAGCCTAGGCAACATAGCCAGTACCTTTCTTTTCGTAAAGACCCACTGGAAAATTGTCCTTTAGGGTAGTAGTGTTTTAAAGGATGGATTGTTTCTCTTTTGTGAATACTGAGTCATTTGAACATGTTTCTTTCTCTACTTTGGCTTAGGAAACTCAGAGTCAAAATTCTAGCTCCTATGGAAGATCATGTCTGTAAGCTGTTACCCGCCTACACCAATTTTAATTTCTTATCTATCTTCTTTACCCTGAATACCTCAATTATTTATTTTGTAAAAGTTTCTTCTTTCTTGAAGCAACTCTCCTTGTATAAATATCCAGTCTTGTTTCTTACAAGTTCTATCTTCTGCAAAACACTAGAAAACAAACACAGTTCAGCCAAGTTCTTTGCCACGTCATGACAAGCATCACTGTTTCTCTGGTTTCTGATAACTTATTCCTTATTTCCATCTGGTACCTCATTAGAATGGTTTGGCCTTTTGTATTTCCACAGTCTATTCTTGATCATTTATGTATTCTCTAAATTCTTCTTTTATTCTGAGCACTTACCAAATTACTTTTAAAGCTCCATACACAGGGTTGGGGCTGTAGCTCAGTGGCAGAGTGCTTGCCTAGCATGCTTGAGGCACTGAGTTGGATCCTCAGCACCACATATAAATAAACAAATAAAATAAAGGCATTCTGTCCATCTACAACTACAAAATTTTTTAAAAAACAAATAAATAAAAAAAAGTGGAGCTGGGGTTGTGGCTCAGTGGTAGAGCGCTTGCCTGGCATGCATAAAGCACTGGGTTCGATCACAGGCACCACATACAAAAATAAATAAATAAATAAAACAAATAAAATAAAGGTATTATGTCCATGTACAACTAAAAAAATATTTTAAAATATAAGCAAGTAAAAGCTCCATACACAGTAATACTGTATCAATTTCTAGCCTGCACTTCAAAGCTCTTGCAGCCTCTACTAACTGCCCAATTCCAGGGCTACTTCCACACTTACATGCACTTGCTATAGCAACAACCCACTTCTTGGGACCCATTTGTCTTTTTGTTTTTTTTCTGTGATACTGAGAATTGAACCCAGGCATACCACTGACCTACATCTGAGCCCTTTCTATTTTTATTTTGAGATAGGGTCTTGCTAAGCTTCCCAAGCTGACCTCAAACTTGCAGTCTTCCTGCCTCAGCCTCCTGAGTTCCTGCAACTACAGATGTGCGCCACCATACCTGGCCTATTGCCTTATTCATTTTTGTTTGACTGATTGGCTGTTTTTTGTTTGTTTGTTTATGTTTTTGTTTTGCTTTGCTTTGTACTAGGGGTTGAACCCAGAGGCTATTTTCACTGAACTACATCCCCAGTCCTTTTATTTTTTATTTTGAGATGGGGGTCTCATTAAGTTGCTTAGGGCCTTGCTAAGTTGCTGGGGCTGGCTTTGACCTTGAGATCCTTCTGCCTCAGCCGCCTGAACTTCTGAAATTACAGGCATGTACCACTGTGCCCAGCACAATTTTTGTTTTCATTGTTTTGTGACCCTATAACAAATCGACATAGAGTGGTTTAAAAGACACAACAAACATTTATTTCTCAGAGTCCTGGAGGCTAGGAAGTCAATCTAGTGCTGATGAGAAGCCTTTTCCTACTTTGCAGTCACCTTTTCACTGTGTCTTCACATGGCCAAGAGCAAGCTCTCGTGTCTGTTTTATAAGGATACCAGTCCCATTCACATGGACTCCATACCCGTCGGCACTCATCTCCTAAAGGCCCTGCCTCCTAATGTGTTCATCTTAGGGTTAGATTTCAACATGTGAATGGGGAGGGGACACAGACACTCGGTCTATATGTCTCTTTGACACATGTGCTAGGCAGCTCATGTATATTACCCCCTTAATCTTCACAGCAAGCCATGAGATCAGGAAGTAGGCTCTGCTTTGCGAAGCAGAAACTGAGTTTGCCAAGTCTAACTCCTTATTCAAGGCCACAGGGACAGCCAGTGAAGAGTTGGGAAGCAAGTTCTGTTCCACAAACCTGGTCCATGTGTCACCATGTCAGCATTCAGCCACCAGCCCTGTGGTAGCTTACAGGCTAACAATTTTCTCTCCTTGGAGCATGGGGTGTCCCAGCAGGGTCCCGCTCCCTGGCAGCACAAGTGAGATGCCCCCAGGTAGCATAACCAGCTAGACAAGAATCACCATGGGGTGGGGGGTGGGGCAGTCGCCTACATTGTAACAAGTGACCCAAGGGTCACTCAGGCTTCTTTAAGTCCAAGAATCCCTATACTAGCTAGAGTCATGAACTCTGTTGGGACACTGCACACTTTCTTTTCTTTTTAATATTTATCTTTTAGTTATGGGTAAACACAATGTCTTTATTTTACTTTATATGGTGCTGAGGATCAAACCCTCCTCACGCATGCTAGGCAAGCGCTCTACCTCTGATCCACAACCTCAGCCCTACACACACCTTTTCTAACAATTTTCCCTAACCAAACAGGTATTACTCTGAGCTTCAAGTCTGCCATGTGGCTGACCTTGCTTGTGTGAGATACACTTGTGCTTTTATCACTAATCATGCTTCTTGTATCATCTTTGGTTAATTTCCTTGAAGACATTGCTTCCCAGAGTACCAGTATTTTTTAGCTTGACAAAGAGGAGTGTTAAGGAGAGAGATCCACTGTGCTGCGCTGTCACACAGAAAGGGTGACCTTTGTTCTGTGAAGTTCTAGAATGTAGAGCCACAGTGATGGCGCCTGGTGAAAAGAGGGGGTTTTGCATACTTCCACAGAGTCTGCACAAGAAGCATATGTTCACCTGGAGACCCAGGGCACTCTGCCCTCAAGCTGCTCTCAGAGGGAAAGATCAGTGTGGACATGCAAAGCGTCTCATCGGGGAGGCAGCAGAACCTCCCCAGGAGAAGCCCTGGCCTGAGCCTTAATGAAAACACGGAGTTGTACAGCTGCAGGTGGACAGGTATCCCAGGCCACGGAGCATGGAGAAACATGAGAGTGAGGACTTGTAGGACTGGGAATGGTTGGCCTACTTGAGCATGTGAACCAGGTAGACTCCTGTGGAGGTCACCCCGAAGCCACCAGCTGTGAACTGTGTGTCAGCAAGGACTTGGGGTTTGCTCCATTTTCTCCCGGTTCACATCAGACTGGCCTCCAGCTTTTACTGTCATGGGCTGATGGATCCAGAAGTTAAAACTGGAAATTAGGGAGCATCATTATTGCTGTTTGCAGGGAGTTTTCATAGGGGGTTTTATGAGCCCTGTGGTGGCTTACAGCTAACAACTTTCTCTCCTTGGAGCATGGGGGGTCCCAGCAGGGTCCCGCTCCCTGGCAGCACAAGTGAGGTGCCCCAGAACTGCAGCGCCACCTGTGGCCTGACTGGGCCTGTCTGGTTGTTGCAGTGCAGGCGACCTGGATGGCCTATGACATGGTGGTAATGCGCACCAACCCCACTCTGGCGGAGTCCATGCGCCGGCTAGAAGTCGCCTTCCTCAACTGCAAGGAGGAGATGGAGAAGAACTGGCAGGAGCTGCTCAGTGAGACCAAGCGCAAGCAGTAGGCCCCGCTGCCCATCCACGCTGCCACCCATCATGCACTGGAGCCACAGAGACGGGCCAGTGACCCAGATACATAGCTGTGTGTACAGCACTTGTTTTTCAATAAACTTATTTTTAAGCACAACCTGAGGACCCTTTCTGTCCTGTGCTGTGATCCACTCAGCTGTCTGCCATATTTTGTGAACTCAGCAAGACAAGGGTAGGATGCAGATGCTTTCAATGGGTGGGACATGTATTTGGTGCAGTTGTGTTGAGCATAAGAAAAAAGAGCCAGACAGGGGCAAGCCAAGTCAGTGCTGGGATAGGCAGCAGCACTCAATCGAATTTATTTACCTGCCTAATGTGGATTTTGAAGTGGGTAGGGAGAGAAAACATTCATTTCTCATGCTGTGTACCCCAGGTACTGTGCCAGGTAGCCCACTGATGATCACATTCTCACGGCTCTCCTGAGGGGCAGGTGTCCATTATGCCTCTTTTACAGAAAAGGTAAAAATGGGAGGTTAAATGTATTGTTTTGAGTCCACATAACTAAAAAGGGGTTCATTTAGAGGGAAATCTGGGGGAAGGGGATGGGAGCCTGGCAGGGCAGAGAGACCTGCAAGTTGCAGAGGAGCCAAGTAGTCTGTCAGGTCTAGGCAGGGCCGTGTGCAGGGCTCCAGACCCAGTTGCACAGGTGAGGGCTCCACCCCCAATCAGACTCAGGAGGAAAGAGTCAAAAGGCTCCTCAGAGGCAGAAGTTCCAGAGGCAAGGGCATCTCCTGGGGACCTCTTTGCCTCCACTTCCACCTGACAGAATACAGGGAGCACAAATAAGCTTTCATCCCTCTCCTTCCTTAGCTCTGGGCCCAGGAGTTTCCCAGGAAGATGGGAGCCTGGGAGCAAGCTGAGGCATCCAAAGCAGGTAAGGACCTGGGGCAGGTACCAGCATGGTGTGGGGAGGGTAAGAAGGGAGGTGGAAGGGCTCTCACTCCAGAATAAGTGACAACCTTTACAGCAGGAGACAAACATAGAAGGAAAAGTGTCCCAGAAACTGGAGCAGAAGGTTCTGACCCCAACCCCACCTCCACGCCCCACACCCCCTCAGACTACCCCAGATGAAAGGTGTCCCTGAAGTACAGTTCTCCACTGGCACTCAGAGTGAGGTCTGCAGCCGGGCCGCAGTGGGCAGAGTCAGGATGAATGGACAGAGGATCCCCTTATTCCCCAGGGGAAAGGGCTGCAGCTCCTTGGCCTGAAACTGCGCAGTCCCCTCAGAGACTGCAAAGGTGGCTGTGACCTGGTGGTTGAGACAGTAAATGGTGTTGCCCAACACAGTACAACGGAGTGGGATGGCCTCAGGCAGTGGCAGGGAGGCAGCACGGCTCCAGGAACCCGTCACCGTGTTGTAGCGCATCACTGCAGCGCCCACACCCCGCAGCAGGTCGAAGCGATACAGGAAGCCCCCTAGTGCCACCATGTCACTGGAGCGCCGGTGGCTGGCACTGTAGGGGCACTCATCCCATGAGTCCTTCACAGGACTGTATCTAAGCAGGCGGTAGAAGAGGTGACCTCCTGTGACATAGATGTCCCCACGGCAGGCCACAGCCTCATGGGCCACAGGGAAGGTGCCTGCAGGGAGGGGAGCACGTAAGGTCCAGGCATCTGTGCGTGGGTCGTAGCGCTCCATGCTGTACAGGCACTCGCCTCCAATAGCATACAGCAGCCCGTCCAGGGCCACCAGCTTGAGCTGGGCTCTGGCTTGCTGCATGGGCCGAACCTGGCTCCAGATGTTGGTCAGAGGGTTGTAGCAAAAGACCTCTTTGGAGCAGACAGCCTTGGCACCAGAGCCACGGATGCCGCCTGCAAGGAACAGGTAGTTGTGCATGGTGCAGAGACCACAGCCCCGGAGGGGGGCTTCCTCCGGCACCTGGGTCAGGGGCCGCCAAATGTTCTCTTGAGGGTTGAACACATGGAGGAATGTTCGATGAGGCAGAGGTGCAGTCTGAGCTTCAGGAGATTCCTCACCACGAGAGCTCTTCTTGAACCCGGAACGGCACACCGGGTAGAGTCTGGGCAGTACAAGGACCCCGAGCCTAGCCTGGCCCTGGCCCGTCCGCAGGCTAAGGATGCGCTCCCGATCAGCCCCACTCAGCTGCCGGTAGAGGTGCGGGTCGCCCAGCACGTGCAGCAGGTTGCTGCTCATCAAGGCATAGGTCTCCTGGGCTAGGCCAGGCTCCCCATGCTGCTGGGCAAAGGCCAGCACCTCCAGGCAGCTGCCCAGGTCTAGCCGCTGGGGACGTTGAACAGCTGTGGCAGCCTCCAAGGCCCACGAGTGGGGCTTCTGGGATCCCTTGACCATCCCCAAACTCCCAGGCCTCTGCAGAAAAACCATGAGTTTTTGGGCCTCTTTCTGCTTCTCTGTGAGGACTCCCCTGCTGCCTGCAGAGCTGGCCTCCTCCCTGAGCACTTGACCCTGGTGCTGCTCTGGGGCCACCTGGCTGACCAGATGCTCAGAGCTCAGGGCTATTTCACACATGCTGTGTTTCCGTGGTCTGGGGATATGCTGAGAATCCCACCTCATAGCAGAGGGTGGTGCAGAGCCAGACTGCATCTGCACAGAGGGCTGTGTGTGTCCCCCAGGCACTTCAGCTGAGGGCAGTGAGTCTAGACTTTTCTCCTTGGTTCTGTTTTCTTTGGGGCCTAGAGGTGGGCCAGGGGTGGGCTTCCCATTGGTTTCAAAGCCCACTGGCTGCGCCTGACATGGAGTCTTGGCCAGTCCTCCGGCCTGTGTGACAATCCCCAAAGAAGATGGGTGCCTATTCTGGAGGTTGGGGATTTCCCCTTCAGATTGGGAAGCCCCTGGTCTGTGTTCAGAATGGGTGAAAGAGCTGGGACCTGCAGGGCTCACAGGGACTGCCCTTAGGGCGCATCCTTTGGGCTTCTCTTGCCTGGGAAAGGGGTGGCTTCTAAGAACCATGGCAATAAGGTTTCCCCAGCTACTTGTAATCTGCCCTTCGTGGTAGCTCCTGGAGAGACCCACTTTGGACTCTCCAGCCGCAGGGCTTGACCCACTAGCTAAGGCAGGGGCTGGGAGTAAGGTTGGTGATGGGGATGGGCATGGGGTTGAGGCAGGGGCTAAGGCTGTGGGCGGAGCTGAGGCTGCGGCTGCGGCTGGTGATGGGTTTGTCACTGGGAATGGGGCTCTGGAGGGAGAAGGGGCTAGGGTTACTGTTGGAGCTGAAGTGGAAACTTGGTCTGATGAGGAGGCCGGCGCCGCGCTGACATTTTCACCCTCAGAAGGATCCTGGCTGACTCCGTGGGGCAGAGAGTTTGTAGGAGAGGGGCTGGGGGCTGCAGAGAGGAGGCCCACGCCAGACCTATTTGCCTTCGGGGAAGGGCGACCCGGATCCCCGCCCCGAGGCGGGGGCGTGGCTGGACGACCAGTGGAGGGGACGCCACTGTGGCCCCCTACAGTTGGCCTTCCTCGGTGCGGGGTCTGCTGGGGCTCCAGGTCAGCCACCAGGCCACCAGCCGCCCGCTCCCTGCCCTGACGAGGCTGGGACTCCCTCCCTTCTCCCGCTCTGCCCAGCCCGGAGTCGAGCCGGGGGCCGCCGTCTGCTGGGCCCGCAGCCCCGGCCGGACGCGCGCCGCAGGACTCCACCTGCACCTCCTCAGGCGAGAAGCCCCACGGCGGCCCCTCCGGCCACTCGCCCGCCGAGTCCAGGGCGCGGCTGAAGTCACTGGTGGGGCTGACCGCTTTCCTAACCCAGGGCCGGCCCTCCGTCGGGGCCGGGACGCCCGCAGCCTCCCGGGGGGCGAGGGCGCTGCTCTCGGTGACCTTGCCAGCCTCGCCCTGGGAGCCCAGGGGCTGGGCTGGGGCTGCCTGGGGGCTGCACTTCTCGCGCCCGCGCTCCGGGCGGTTTGTCCCAGGAGCCGTGAGCGCGGGCTGGGCCTGGGGCAGTGCCTGCTGGGCAGGACCCTTGGCGGAGGCGGACAGCCGGGAGCCTGGGCCCGGGCTGCGGGAGCGGGCGTCCATCGCAGCGGCGGACGCAGCGTCTATAGCATCCCACACACTCACCGCAGCGCCCAGGCGGAGGGGGTCGGGCTTTGGGGGATGGCAGGTTCGGTCTCCCGAGACAGCGTCGGCCTGACGTCGCCGGCTGCGGCGGACTGTCCCCAGAGAGCCAGGCAGGTACCAGCGGTTGGTGTCCTGTTGCTCTCTGTGGATAGGGGCTGGGCGAGCTGGCCCCTTAGCACCGGCACCACCTGCCCCCGCCTGCAGTTCAGCTTCGCCACCAGAACTCCGAAGGGTGAAGTGGATCAGGAGGGGAGCAGGTGTCGCCCCTGCTTTGCTCCTACCCAGGATAGCAGTGTCTGGCCTGGGGGGCTCCCTTCCTTCACTTCGCTGGGCTCCTGGGGTGGTGTTACCACACCGCTCTCCCAGGGTCCCTCCACTGGTGGCATTTCCAAGAGTACTGAGTGGAGGTCCAGCTGTGACAGCCAAAACTCTGCCAACGAGGGGTTCCTGGTCCTGGGCCGCAGACATAGCAAGGCTCCCCTGACTGGGTCTTGGAGGGTGAGGCTTCTTCTGCCTTTCTCTGTCTCCCTTGCTGCCACCACTGACCTTGGACTCTGGATGCAGAACCAACCTGCCTTCTTGAGTAGACTGGGTCCCCCCGACTGTGGACTTCGGTCCTGCCACTTCCTGATCCTGTCCTGAGCCGAACCAATGCAAAGCCAGTGCTGTGGCAGCCACCACAGCCAGAGCCAGCAGACCAAGCGCAGCACCGTCCCAGTCATGATCACCGTCCCCATCCCAGCCCCAGAGGGGCCCACCAGCCTGGGCACCCTGGATCATGGTACTGGGTGCAGACAGGGTATGAGGAATCCAGTGCTGGTTGGCTGCTGTGCGTGCCCTGCTCACGGTCCTGGGCTGCCCTCTGGGCCAGTGGCATCCTGAGAGCCCCGCCCAGGGCTGCCCTGTTAAGGTGGACCTATTCTCTAGTACCTTGGGAGTCTCTTCCTGCCTGGAGGTTTGTCAGTAGGTCCAGTTGGAGATATCAGGAGACCTTCAACAGCCTTGCCAGGCTGCCTACCAGCTCCTGCCCCCTTCTCCTTTTCTTGGCATCCCAGGATCA